TCCTCAGCTCTGGCCTTACCCTGACTGTTAGTATGTTTCAAGAGGGAAATTCTTAATGGAGCAGACATTTTGCAACCTACTAAATCACCAGCTGCTTTTTCCATTAGACTGTGGCAGGGTATGAGGAGTCATTGTGGAAATGTTAAAAGGAAAGTGCTCAATCACAGATTTTGGCTGTATTTAAACAGATTCTTGTGTACCAATGGATAACTGCCTGTATAAAGGCGTAGGTGGAGCAGGCAGAGGGTCTGCCTTCAGATCAGTAGTTACAGCCTTTGCTGTCGTGATATGTGGACATAAAGCTTTCATTTGAGGCTGAGCTATTTAGGTGCCAAGCAGGAAGCTGTCTGCTAGGCAGACCGTGTGGCTTTGGAGTCATGGTGGCATCAGGAAGGGGCTGTAGTACCTTTAGGTGCATTTCTGCCACGGGTGTAGCTGGAAGTTTTGGGGTTTCACTGCACCAGGTGGCAGAAAAGAGCACAAGAATGAAAGTGCGAAGGCTCACCAAGAACTCTTGTTGTTTCTTTCTCCCCATAGCTTAGTCTCTTCTTGTTCTACCGAGTATTTATACCCGTACTTCAGTCAGTCACAGCACAGATCATTGGTAAGTGCCTTTTCCAGTTTGTCCATTAAGGGGTGCTCAGCAGTCTGTGGGAGTCCCAGCACTCATCCCAAACTGCTGAGGCTTTGTTCTGTAAGCTGCTCCTTGCGCTTGTCTCCTTGCATTGTTTCTCTCCCTCCTGGGCACCCTACTGATGGCGCGCTCCTCGTTCAGCAGGATGTGAGAGCACAGCTTGTTTCAAGGTTGGGCCCAGCCCTCCGTTTGCCTTCCCCTGTTCTGTTTCACATCTTGGTGAAACCTGAAGTTTTACCAGGGCCAACTTGTGGGATGGGTTCTAGGAAGGACCCTTCTTGAGGGGACTTGGACACTTTGGTTTTCTTGAAACAACAAGGAAATTTTTCTTCTGTCATCAGCTGCAAAAATGTACGGATGAGGCTTGAAAACCACACACAGGCTGTGCTAAGCAAGGCTGTGCTTAATTGTTCCATAGAAAATCAGACAGATGGGTAATTCTGCTAACAGACTGGAAGGGCTGACGACAGTCTTTGAACCCTTCTTGTGTTAGGATCTAGCCTGTTGGTTTTGTCACTCAGTACCCAACAGTTGTCAGTAGTTGCAGAATATTTTTGCAAATAAATAAAAAGCAAGTGGGTGGAGGAAGAAATGTTTTTTGTTTTTTTTTCCTTTCCTTGAGTGCTACAGTCAGGAGTATTTCACAATGGCAGAGATGGCTGTGCCAGGAAACTTTAACATGGACCTGTTGGGTTTGTGATCTGAAATGAGGAGGTTCCTAATGTGCTTTTCTCCCTGTCTATCTCTCAAAGGCGACCCTTCCTTACACGGTGATGTCTGGTCTTGGCTAGAGTTCATTCTCACCTCCATTTTCAGCGCCCTCTGGGTCCTTCCCCTGTTTGTGCTCAGTAAGGTTGTCAATGCCATCTGGTTTCAGGTAGGTGACGGGAACATTGACCGCGTGTCATGCGAATGATGGGAACGTCCTCGTTAAAGCTTGATCAGTCAGGAGTAAATCCCCAGGGCACCCTGCAGCCCCTTTTGCTGGTGGTATGTTGATGGCGTTTTGGCTGCAGATAAAACATTGCACGTCAGGCCCAGAAATGGCATGAGCCAGTTGTGTGGAGCATCTGCCATCTTGGCATCTCTGTGCAGAAGGGGGGCAAATTCCTGGTTTGGCCATAAGGATCTTAGAAAATCTGAAATCCCATCCTGAAAAGGGACTCTGGGGGTGTTCTCAGTTGGGCAACTGCAGCTCACCGGCATCGTCTGTCATCCTAACTGCTTTTCACTGAAGTCCCCTTCTCTCTTTTGCAGGACATTGCAGATCTAGCTTTTGAAGTTTCTGGCAGAAAGCCTCATCCCTTTCCCAGTGTCAGTAAAATCATTGCTGACATGTTGTTTAACCTCTTGTTGCAGGCGCTGTTCCTCATCCAGGTGAGACCAGAGTAACGAACCAGAAAACAACCCAACGCCTGCCTGGGCCACCCCGCACCGTGCTCTGGGGCAGTGGCAGGCACACTGCTCACCCCGAGGTCCTGAGCACCCCTCGCTCACCTGCCCTTTTCTTTCTCAGGGGATGATAGTGAGCCTCTTCCCCATCGATATCATCGGCCAGCTGATCAGCCTCCTGCACATGTCGCTGCTATATTCTCTCTACTGCTTTGAGTACCGCTGGTTTAACAAAGGTGAGTGCTGCCCCTGCTCTCGGCACCGCCTGCAAGGCCGGCGGGGCTGAAATGTTTGCTGCTAGGCGGCCGTTTCCCTGCTCAAGTAGCATCCGGGTGGGCTGCCAGCAGGATGTGTGCAGCCACAGGAGCCCTGTGTGTGGCAAAGGAGTGAGCAAGCTGCTTTGCAGTCCCACACCAGCTGCGAGGAGGCACTGTTGCTGGTTATTGCTGCTCTCTGTCGTGCTGCTACTGCGTGGTTTGTTTTCTCTCTGCCAATTTTCTCTTTTGGATAACAGTTATAAGTATTTCCATGTTCTTTGAAGTAGACTGAAAAGAAATGCTTGCCGTTCTTTTCATTTTCCTTCATTTTTTTTACAAGGGCTGAAGTGTAACGAAGAACTTGTCCCACCATGATAACTCTGTGGGTTGATTTCTGTGGGATTTTGTTCTCACCAGGAATTGAAATGCACCAACGGTTATCCAACATCGAGAGAAACTGGCCCTATTACTTTGGATTTGGCTTACCACTGGCTTTCCTCACTGCGATGCAGTCGTCCTACATCATCAGGTGAGTCTTTAGGAGGGCGGTTTGCTGTTGCGGAGCTGCCTGCTCCCAACCCAGAGCCCATACACTTCTTGCCTCCTTTCCTGCATCAGAGAACCTCACCCTCACCCACAGCACCAGAGACGTCCTCACAGAGGCCACAAGCAACCGAGGTGCCTTTTCTCTTTTCTTCCAGTGGCTGCCTCTTTTCCATTCTTTTCCCTCTGTTCATCATCAGCGCCAATGAAGCAAAGACCCCTGGCAAAACCTAGTAAGTAGTGGCCTGGGGAAGCTCTGTGTTGGTGTTAGATCCAGGACAAATGGATGGTAAATAGGGAACAGCGCAGGGAGAACAGAGACTACCCATGCTTGGTGGGTGGGTGGAAGCGTGAAGGAATGGCAGTGCTGGGCTTCCTGTACCCACTTAAAAGCTGGGTCAATTCCCCTTATCCCCAGGGGAAGGCTGGGCAGCCACTGCCCCAAGCAGTGCGAGGGCTGGAGGGGGCTTCTCAGTGCGGGGGTAGCATCAGGGAGAGCCCAGGCTGTCGGCAGGCGGGAAGCTCACCGGCTCCGTTCCCTTTCAGCCACTTCCAGCTCCGTCTCTTCTCCCTGGTGGTTTTCCTCAGCAACAGGCTCTTCCACAAGACCGTTTACCTTCAGTCCACCCTGAGCAGCGCCTCCGCGGACCGGCTGCTGACCCCCCAGCCATCTCCTGCCAAACACAAGCCTGCTCTGGGGCACTGAGCCGCAGCTGGTGGGGCGACGGGGCACGGGCTTCACCTCGGCTGCTAGGAAGGCCCCCAGGGGTGGCAGGATGCAGCCTGCCGCGGTGCCTGCACGTCCCCTGCTGCCCAAAGCCCTGCCCACGTGGTGGTACAGTGTTCCCCCATGAGCATGCAGATGGGAAATGTGGGAAAAGTCTGGATTTTTAACACCTTTGTGAGTTTGGAAAAGCTGGGCTCCCTGTGCTTGTGTTCTAGCGTCACTGCCTTCCCTGGGCAGTTGTGTGTGTGTTCTCCCAGTGCCATCTCTCCCTTCCTCTTGATGGACGATTTGCAAACCCCAGTGTTTGCGTTCCCCTGGGGCACTTGAGGAATCCGGCTGGGCAGCAACTTGTTCACAGTGGGGCTGTTGGCTGCTGTGGGCGGGCTCTGGGGGCTGTTTTTGGGGTGAATTCAGGGGAAATCTGACATTAGACACCATTTCCCACAGCATTCTCTTCAAGAAAATGGCTGCTCTTGGCTTTGTTGGGTTAGAAACTGGCTGGATAGCTGGGCCCAAAGAGTTGTGGTGAATGGAGTCACGTCCAGTTGGAGGCCGGTCACTAGTGGCATTTCCCAGGGCTCGGTGCTGGGGCCGGTCCTCTTCAACATCTTCATCAATGATCTGGACGAGGGCATTGAGTGCACCCTCAGTAAGTTTTAGGTGCGTGTGTCGATCTGCTCGAGGGTAGGAAGGCTCTGCAGGAGGATCTGGATAGGCTGCACCGATGGGCTGAGGCCAACTGTATGAAGTTCAACAAGGCCAAGTGCCGGGTCCTGCACCTGGGGCGCAATAACCCCAAGAAGAGCTACAGGCTGGGAGAGGAATGGTTGGAGAGCTGCCAGGCAGAGAAGGACCTGGGAGTGATGGTGGACAGTCGGCTGAATATGAGCCAGCAGTGTGCTCAGGTGGCCAAGAAGGCCAACGGCATCCTGGCTTGTGTCAGAAGCGGTGTGACCAGCAGGGCAGGGGCAGTGCCTGTCCCCCTGTGCTGCCCCCCCCCCCCCCCAGCTCTGTGCCACCGGGCCCTGCCCCGCCCGCCCCACGCCTCCCCCACGTGGCGTCCCCCACGTGGCGCCCTCTTCCGCATCCGGCCACGTGACCCGGCGCGCCCCGCCCTAGCGCTCCCCGAGCCGGGACGGACACGTCACTGCTCGCGCTCTCCCGCCCCCGCCGGCCCCGCGCTCCGCCAATGGGAACGCCCCGGCCGCGGCTCGCCCTTCGCCCTCCACCGCGCGCCCCGCCTCCCGGCCAATAAGCGGCGGCGCTGCTTGAGTGACGTCCGGGCGAGCCAATGGCGGGGCGGCGGGGTGGGGGGGGCGCGGGCGGGGGAGGGCTGCGCGGGGCGGATGGCCGGGGCGGCGGGGCCCAGCGCGGCGCCAGGGTGAGGGCCGCGGGTGGGGGCGGGGGGACCGGGGGGGGCCGGGGGGTGGATCCGGGGCTGGGGGCTCCCGGCTCGGTACCGGGAGCGGCCCCCCCGCCCCGCACAGCCCGGCCGGGGGCCTGGGGCCGCGCCGCGGTTTCGCTTCCGCGGTGCCCAGCGCCCGGTGCCGCGGGGACCCCCCCAGGGAGGGCAGGGCCCCAGCGGGAGCCGCGAGAAAGAGCAGCAAAAACGGGAAAAAACGGGAAAAAAACGGGAAAAGAGCGAGCAGGAAGCGCCGCGGGGTGCCCGGGGGGGTCTGTGCGGCTCAGCCGGGGCGGGCCGGGCGCTGCTGGGGGCTGACCCCGGGGCTGCGCTGCCCGCAGGTGAAGGAGCGCGGCCTGAGCACACGGGGAGGCCCCGGCCCGGGCCCGGAGAAGAGAAACCGGCCTCGGAGGGGGGTCGGGGCAGGTGAGGAGCGGCTGTGCTGGGGCTGAGGGGGCAGGAGGGGGGCACGAAGGGCAGGGGGCTGCAGGGGACATGGCTCTGGGGAGGGTGCAGGGTGCAAGGGCAGGAATCGGGGCAGGAATCGGGGCAGGGGACGCGGCTCAGTGCAACTTCCCGGTGTGGTTGCAGGGAGCTGGCCGCCCGCAGCAGGAGCTGGTTCAGGGCCTGGTTTTGTGAAACTCCTGGAGTTGTGCTGGGGCCGCAGGCTGGCTCGGCTTTAATCGCCTCCCTTGCTCTTGTCCAGGTGTTCGCGCGTCCTCTCTCTGCCTTTGATGTGACAATGACCAAGTTGGGGTTTCTCCGGCTCTCCTACGAGAAGCAGGACACTCTGCTGAAGCTCCTCATCCTGTCGATGGCAGCGGTGCTGTGTGAGTCTGCACCCGGGCACAGGGGGTGGCTGCTGGGACTCTGGGGTGGAACTGCCCCGTTCCTCCGTTCCTCCTTCTGTTCTTTCATAGGTCATCAAGCTCCCGTCTGTCTTTAAAGCATGACTTCAGTGAAAGTTGTGATTCTTTTAGTATCTGTTCTTTGAAAACCGCGTCCTTCCAATGACCAGTTTAAGACAGAAACAATTTTCATCCAGTGACAAAGTGGATAAACCTAACATAACTCCGGCCCCGCAAATGCTGAAGATTCATTCTGTCTTTTTTTTTGTGTTTGCAGCTTTTTCCACAAGGCTTTTTTCTGTCTTACGCTTTGAAAGTGTCATCCATGAGTTTGACCCGTAAGTGTCTTCTCTCTCGTTCCACGGGGCCTGCTGGGTTTTTCTCTTACAGAGCACGTGGATGTTGAGTGCTGCTTGCTGGTGTCAGTTTGCTCCCCTTTGGGGATGGAGGATTTGTTCAGTACAAACGTTTTAGTTTTCCTGTCCCCAAATTCACTTCTCAGGTCCCAGCACTCTTTCTGGAGCCTGGATCTAAGTCAGGGTGATCGCCCAACACTGCTTTAATGCCGGGCTGGGGATGTTCTCTACCTGAACCTGGAGGGAGGGCTCCTAGTACCACCTGCATTGCTGTCCCAGGGTTGTTGCTGATTAAATCAAAAGCCAGGGACCTTTGCAAAATGACTCTTAAACTTGCTAGGACCAAAGGTGATACCCTGCAGCAGAGGGGAAATGGAGTAAAATTATTGTGCCCACACTGATGGGTGGAGGATCCCCTGTGGCCCTGCTCTTTCTGATGGTGTCTCGGTGTGACTAAAACAAAGGCGTGTGGCAAAGTGCAGTTGCCTGGAGGCAAAGAGGCTTCCATCTGCCCAGAGAATGCGTGGCCAGCCCTCAGAGCGCTCTCTTACCCATAGACTTCAGAGAATGCTGCCCAAACACGTGGCTTGCTGCAGAAACACCAGGTGCATGGGCAGCATTCACCACCAACGGCAGGCACAGCGGTTTCCTCTCCACATTAATTGATCAGGAGTTTCTCTTACAACCCGCTAACTGCTGGGTGTGCAGTGTGGCACAAAGCTGCCCCGCTTCCTGAATGCTCCTTAAGAACTGAGATTTTAACGTGTGGCGCCGTGGGCAGTCAGCACACCGGTGTCTGGGTGCGGAGGTGCTCAGTGCTTCTTGCTGTTACAGGTATTTTAACTACCGCACGACGCGATTCCTGGCAGAGGAGGGCTTCTATAAATTCCACAACTGGTTTGATGACCGAGCATGGTACCCCTTGGGCAGGATTATTGGTGGAACCATTTATCCAGGTAAGCCAGCAGGCTTCTGCTAAAACATACCTCGTGCAATGCAAAGTTGTCAGGGTGCGCATTTGGGAGCGGCGTTTAGAGTATGTGGAGCAGAGCGGTGCCTGGAGCTGCTCTGTGCAGGGAGCAGCACATCAGACTGCTCCGCTCACCCGCTAGCAGCAAAATGCAATTCTGGTCGCAGCGAGGCAGAGCTTCCATGGTTCAGAAGCAGTTGGGCGGTGTCATGCTCCACTTAAACGCATCTGGGTTTAATTCAGAGCACCAGCTGGGAGAGGAGGGCAGTTTGGGGTTGCCCTTCGTCAAGGTGCACCAGGCAGCAGCTCCTTTCTGCTCTGTCCCTTCACAACTTCTGTTGGCCCTGCTCGAATGGCAACCGAACAGCCCCTGGTGCTGCCAGCCAGCCAGAAGAGCTCTGCTGACGGTGTCGTGTCTGTCCCACAGGCCTGATGATCACATCGGCGGCCATCTACCACGTGCTGCACTTCTTCCACATCACCATCGACATCCGGAATGTCTGTGTGTTCCTGGCACCCCTCTTCTCCTCCTTCACCACCATAGTGACTTACCACCTCACCAAAGAACTCAAGGTATGGGGAAGATCTGGGTATGCTGCGTGCCTTTTTGCTAGCTGTTGTAGAGAAGACTGTTGCTCAGAGCTGACAGCTCCTGGAAAATGGAAGATCTATTTTGAACTTTCATTTCTTCGAGGCATGTCTGTGTGTAAATAACCAGAACCTTAAAGGCTGATGGCTTTTCTACCCTCTGTGTGTTTCCCAGGATGCCGGCGCAGGACTCCTTGCTGCTGCCATGATCGCAGTTGTGCCTGGATACATCTCTCGATCCGTGGCTGGATCCTACGATAATGAAGGTGAGGTTGTGGCAACCAGAGCAGGGAAACCTTTAATGGCTGTTCTGTGCTGGGAGCTGCTGGTAGAGGTGCTGCAGCATGTGACAAGGAACCGTGCCAGACCTGTGATGTGCTAACCAAACTGCACTGCTCTGAGATGGGTGGCTGTTCTGGTTGAGAGGAGGGAGAGTGTTTCCACGCCCAGTTCCCCAAATATCCTTGTTTGCAAGTCAAAAAGAGTTTTGCCACCTCCACAAACTGCTTAGCATTAGAGCTGTTCAGCAGCTCCCCCAGGCTTTTGTCTGTGTTCCGGCAATGATTTTGGGACTGGCAGAGGCAGCAATCTTGTTGCTGCCACCTAGGGCAGAGGAAAATCCCGGTCCCTCTCCACTAGCTGAGCTATTAGGGACCACGTAAGGAGTCAGTGTGTTCAGGCAGGCTAGCTGCTATAGATGGAAGAGGCCACGTAAGCTGTTACCTAGATTAAGACACAAATGTCACTGTGTTTCAATCTAGAAACCAGACACTGAAACCATTTTCCTTGGCTCTTTGTGCAAGGTGCTGTTCCACCTTCTGGTGAAACAGCAAAAAGATTTATTTATTTTTTTTAATGTGATTGAGTGTTCTGGTGTGCCCCAGGGATTAAATGACGATTAAATGACATTTCAAGGCAGATGTAAGCTTGCTTTGACCTTGCCACGTCTTTCCACCCAGGTATCGCCATATTCTGTATGCTGCTAACTTACTACATGTGGATCAAAGCTGTCAAAACTGGCTCTATCTATTGGGCAGCGATGTGTGCTCTTGCCTATTTCTACATGGTGAGTGTTCCTTTTCATGGCACCGAGGTATTTCTGACTCTAGGGGGACTGCTCTTGGTATGGGGACTGAAAGTATGCAGCATGCAGTTCTTGTGTCTGCGCATTCAGGGAACTAAACCTCTGTATGGGACTTAGTGTGAAAATGAAACGAACGCTGTCTTCGTTAACTTCACTCACCAAAACTGAATACCACAGCATTTTTTGTGCAAGGTTTTATTAATAGCATTGAAAAATCTGGGCTTCTGACAGCCGTGACTGTTAGCAGTGTCCTCCTTGGGGAGAGTGGATCTCAGGGTTACTGCCGAGTGAAAGTCCTGCGTGTGACCCCAGGAAAATCAAACATGCTCTGTTTGAGCCCTGCCATGCAGTGTGTTCAGCCCTGGAACTTGCTTTTTCTTTGTTTCTCTTGCCAGGTCTCCTCATGGGGTGGCTACGTCTTTCTGATTAACCTGATCCCCTTGCACGTTCTTGTGCTGATGCTGACCGGACGCTTCTCCCACAGGATATACGTAGCCTACTGCACTGTCTACTGCTTGGGAACGATCCTCTCTATGCAGATCTCCTTTGTTGGCTTTCAGGTGGGGAACAGAAGGATTTGGAGATACAAGGATGGTTGTAGTTCTGTTGGGTTGTAGCAGAACAACTGTGAATTGGCATCTGGTTTCTCTTCTTGCCTTTGTCATGGAGTTTGTAAGTGGGTAAGACAGACTTTCTAAGTCTAGGTGCTGTTACACGGGTTTGTTGTAACAAAAAGCAACATCGGCAGTGACCAGCTTTTGGTGGTGCCTCCCTGCCTTTGAAACGCAGCCTTTCTTCAGAGTGAGAACATGGCTGTACTGCTATTGTTGACTTAAGGCAGGTTGTAAGGCTGGATGACTTTCAAAGTGATAAGCTGCTAATAACCTTCCTGGCACTGGCTGTCGTTCATGATAAAGTTTCCATTTCAGTGCAGGGACTGCTCACGCCAGCATGCATCTTAATACAGCAGGAAAAATGCGTGCTCTTTCTGAACAGTCGTCTCCATTTTCAAGAAAACCAGTTTAAAGTACTGCCTGTTGTTCACCTTTACCAACCTGGCACGTAGAATCCAGTTTTTTGGGGCTTAAAAAATTAAACATGAGGAGAGGTCACAAGCATGAGGTTAGGCTTTCAGTTATTTTTTCTTGTGAATTCCTATGTGGGAATTAAAGCTGACATAAGAAAGTGACTTGCACCAGATGTGCCGTTCACTGTCTATGGGAAGGGGGTGGCTTCCTATGACGTAAGCAGTGATTTTGCTGAGAAGTGATTTGTTTAAGTATTAAAAGAAAAAAAAAAAGAAAGCTGGTATCGGGTGCAACTCAGCTGTCATTCTGCGTAGTATCTGATTGTGCTCTCCCCTGCCTGCAGCCTGTCCTCTCCTCGGAGCACATGGCTGCCCTTGGCGTCTTCGGCTTGTGTCAGATCCATGCCTTTGTAGACTACCTTCGCAGCAAGCTGAACCCGCAGCAGTTTGAAATCCTCTTCAGGAGCGTCATCTCCCTGGTTGGCTTTGTCCTCCTCACCATCGGGGCTGTGCTGATGCTGACAGGTAGCCTGAGATCCCCGGCAAGGCCCGGCTCGTGGCGATGATGAACACATTTCACTGCTGGCTTTGCCTCCTTTTGATTCTTTTATGAGTGTGCAATCTGTTGGTCATGATTTTGCATTGTTTGTTTGCACTGTGGTTTCAGTGCCTGCAAGCTCTTCTCTAATGTGGAAGATGGGACTTGCCCCAGTTTGTTCATTAGCAAGAAATTATTTAGAATACAGCCGTAAGATCTGGGCGTTGGGTAGTGCGAGATGCAGAGAGACCTGCCGTGACTCAGACCTCACTGGGGATGCTGAGTTGATGCTTCAGAAGCTGAATGCTGATCTGTAGTAATGGATGCTACAAGGTGTTGGTTGGATGAGGGAGAAGTCTTTTCAGGATAAAATTGCACTTTATTTCCTTTTTAAAAGAAGAGTTTTGACAGAGGAACAGTTTTTTAACAGAGGTGTTAAATGAGAATTGCTCATTCAGCTCTGCACATGCTTCCCTTAGGAGGGAATGTATGGGCATTGCTGGCTGTGCTGCGCTGGGATCGATCGTGACTTTGTCCTCTTTGCTAGGGAAAATCTCTCCGTGGACGGGACGTTTCTACTCCCTGCTGGATCCTTCCTATGCAAAGAACAACATTCCCATCATCGCCTCTGTCTCGGAGCACCAGCCCACCACTTGGTCCTCCTATTACTTTGACCTACAACTCCTCGTTTTCATGTTCCCAGGTGAGCCCAGTGCTGCCGTGGTCGGACCCTCAGGCATACCCCAGGTTTATTAAATTGCTGTACAAAGCCGTGTGGAGCAGAAGCAGGTCATGGTGTGCTGCCTGCCTCTGCCAGCTGGGTTTTGTTTCAGGCAGCAGATTGCTGAGGCGAATCTTACCTATTTCTCTGTTCTCTTTGCAGTTGGTCTCTATTACTGCTTCAGTAACCTCTCAGATGCCCGCATTTTTATCATCATGTACGGTGTGACCAGCATGTACTTCTCTGCTGTAATGGTGAGGGCTGCTGCCTGCGGACTGTCAGTACCTGCTGTCACGGGTGTGACCAGGGCAAGAGCAGGATGATGAGATGGTCTTAATGGAGTTGGCTTTTTTTTTTTTTGAATTTGTTGGTAATGTCTGTTCCTCCATGAGCCAGCTGAAACTTTCATGAGGCTTTTCTCCCTTCCCTAAAGCTGGTTTATGTACTCCTCTGTGCAGTGAGAGAACGTGACGTTGCAAAACTTATTGTTTTGGGCATTAATGCGTGTCCTTTTGAGCACTGCGGTCTGCGACTGGCTCTTGGGAGGAGTGGATGAATGCTTTTCCTGGTCTCCCATAGCTGACTTGCAAAACCAAACAAATTCTCCAGGTGTCCAGGCAGGACTGAAGACAAACGGCTGATTATGAGCCCTTTATCACTCTTGCCAAGTCCTTAATATAAGTTGATTTCTGTGTGTGGAGGCATCTGTTAATTCCTGGCTCCACATAATAATCCTAAAGATTGCCCACGGCTGTTAAATTTAGGTCATTTCTGCATGTTGGCTGACTTTGAGGACTTCAGAAAACCTCCCTTGCAGAAGTTCGTGTCCTCCAGTCTGTGTCCTCTAAAAAAAATCACCCATGGGTTTCTCTCGGGGCTGCAGTTACTGCTGAATTTGAGGTGCAGGATGAGGGACTGCATGTAATTTCCCCGTTACTCTGCTTTCTGCCCAGCTTTCCTCTCCGACAGGTGTTGACTGTCCTGCTGTTGCCCGTAGGTGCGTCTGATGCTGGTGCTGGCCCCAGTGATGTGCATCCTTTCCGGCATTGGGGTTTCTCAGGTGCTGTCCACATACATGAAGAACTTGGACATCAGCCGACCAGACAAGAAGAGCAAAAAGCAGCAAGACTCCACTTACCCCATCAAAAATGAAGTGAGTGTTGGGCCAGCTCGTGACGGGGAGAACTGTGGGGAAGAGGAAAGTGGCCACTGATCCTGGTGGGGATGAGTACCAGAGGCTGATGGCCTCTTTCCTGGGGTGCTGATGCCAATTTGCTCTACAAGGTTGCCAGCGGCATGATCCTGGTCATGGCTTTCTTCCTCATCACCTACACCTTCCACTCGACCTGGGTGACCAGCGAGGCGTATTCTTCGCCGTCCATCGTGCTGTCTGCCCGTGGCGGGGATGGCAGCAGGATCATCTTTGACGACTTCAGAGAGGCTTATTACTGGCTGCGCCACAACACGCCAGAGGTAACCACGCGTCAGCCTCGGTGGGTGGCAGCACCTGCTGAGGCACTGATGGCACGCGTGGTGTTTGGGTGCAGGACGCCAAGGTGATGTCCTGGTGGGACTACGGCTACCAGATCACTGCCATGGCCAACCGAACCATCCTGGTGGACAACAACACCTGGAACAACACGCACATCTCCCGCGTTGGTCAGGTAGGTGCTTGCCCTGGGTGTGCCCGCTGCCCCACGGGCTCCACATGGCGCGACAGCCACTGTGTCCTCTTCAGGCAATGGCATCGACGGAGGAGAAAGCCTACGAGATCATGAGGGAGCTGGATGTCAGCTATGTGCTGGTGATATTTGGTGGCCTCACTGGGTACTCCTCCGACGGTAAGGTCCCGCAGCGCCCTCCCCCTCCCCAGTGCCTTGTTGGCTTCTGACCCCCCAATGTGGTGTCCCCCCCCACCCCCATTGCCTTGCAGACATCAACAAGTTCCTGTGGATGGTGCGCATCGGCGGCAGCACGGACACGGGCAGACACATCAAGGAGCACGACTACTACACCCCCACGGGGGAGTTCCGGGTTGACCGAGAGGGCTCCCCGGTGCTACTCAACTGCCTGATGTACAAGATGTGCTACTACCGCTTTGGGCAGGTCTACACCGAGGCCAGTAAGTTCCCGGTGCCACCGCCGTGCCCCAAAGGCCTGAGGGACGTGGTGGGACAGTTCTGCCTCTTGTCCCTTGCAGAGCGGCCGCCGGGCTACGACCGGGTGAGGAACGCTGAGATCGGGAACAAGGACTTTGAGCTGGACGTGCTGGAGGAGGCGTACACCACAGAGCACTGGCTGGTCCGAATATACAAAGTATGGAGGTGGAACGAGCCCGGGTTTGGGGCAAGGCGGAATTCCACCCCAGCACACCCACAGCTGAGCCTTTCCTTTCTTGCAGGTGAAGGATTTGGATAACCGCGGCTTGTCCAGGACGTAGAGCCGCCGCTGCCCGAGCCAACCACCGCACTGACCCAGCCTTTGCCTGTGAAGCAGAAATACTTTTGATTTTCTGTTTTTTTGGGGGTTGTCTTTTTTTTTTTGTTTCTTTTTATACCGTTCATACGCGCAGGAGGAGCCAGGCCGGCGCTGCCCCGCGTGCCCGGCTGGGATTTTTATACTCACCGAATCAGGAGGAACGGCTTCGCCAGGGCTGATTAAAGGGGAATTACAGAAAAACGACCCAAACGTTGTCTTTGCCTTTTTTTTTTTTTTTTCCCACTGCTCCCGTTCAGAGGGCGGGGCCGGGGGGGGTCGCGGGGTTTTGCCGTTCCCCGGGCATTTCGCGGGAAAATTGGGGAGGGGGCGGGGCCGGGGGCGGGGCTTGGGCGCTGCGCGCGCAGAGCGGGGCGGGGCCGGGGGCGCCGGCGGGAACGGGGCGCGCGGCGGGGCCGGGCCGGGGCCCATGGCGGGGCCGGTGCCGTTCGTGGAGGACTGGGACCTGGTGCAGACGCTGGGCGAAGGCGCCTACGGGGAGTGAGTGCGGCCGGGCCGGGCTGGGGGGGGGGTTGTGGCACACCGCGGCGGGGCCCCCGCACACCCCCTGCTCGCCCTCCGTGCCCCCGGCCTGCTGCAGGGCTGCTGCGTGCCCCCTGCGCACCTCCTGCATGCCCGCTGTGTGCCCACTGCTTGCCCGTTGCAAGATCGCTGCGTGCCCTTTGCACGTTCACCGTGTGCCTGTTGCTTGGCTGCTTGTGCGCGCATTGCCTGTTACCTGCCCGCTGCGTTGCACACCCCCCCTGCACACCCATTGTGCACTCTCCTTGTACCCCCTGCACGCTGCTGTGCGCCCACCCCTGACTCCCCCCCTCAGGGTGCAGCTGGCGGTGAATCGCCGCACGGAGGAAGCCGTGGCTGTCAAAATTGTGGACATGAAGCGGGCGGCTGACTGCCCGGAGAACATCAAGAAGGAGATCTGCATCAACAAGATGCTCAACCACGAGAACGTTGTCAAGTTCTACGGGCACCGGCGGGAGGGTGCCACGCAGTATCTCTTCCTCGAGTACTGCAGTGGCGGCGAGCTCTTCGACCGCATCGGTACGCTGTGTGCTCCGAAACACATCTGCATGTTTTTAAAGCCTTGTGTTAAAAAACCTGTCCCTTGCGCAGCTGGGAATTGCGGTTCCAGTCCCCATGGTGTTGCTTTCCTGCAGAGCCAGATATTGGGATGCCAGAGCCGGAGGCGCAGCGCTTCTTCCAGCAGCTGATCGCCGGCGTGGTGAGTGTGGCGGTGGCGGTGGCAGCAGCGACATCCCCGCCTCGTCTGACCCTGCTCCCCTTCCCCAGGTCTACCTGCACAGCATGGGCATCACCCACCGGGACCTGAAGCCAGAGAACCTGCTCCTGGACGATCGAGGTGCGTGCCAGGGGCAGCCTGGTGCCCCCCGATTGTCCGCCTTTAACCATTTTTTTCTTTTTGCCCAGACAACCTGAAAATCTCCGATTTTGGCCTGGCCACCGTCTTCAAGCATAACGGCCGCGAGCGGCTGCTGAACAAGATGTGCGGCACCCTGCCCTACGTGGCCCCCGAGCTGCTGCGTCGCCCCGAGTTCAGGGCCGAGCCTGTGGACGTGTGGGCGTGCGGCGTGGTGCTGACAGCGATGCTGGCCGGAGGTGGGCACGTGAGACCCACAGAGGGCGCAGGGAGTGGTGGGAGGCAGTGGGGACGTGGGAAGTGCAGATGGAGGCAAACGAAATGCATGGGGGGGGACGGGACGCGTGGAGGGGTGCGCAGTGCATAGAGGGGACGTACGGAGTGCACTGAGGGACGTGTGAGATGCAGGAGGGGGATGTGTGAGACGTGTCAGGGGGGGCATGGAATGCACAGGGGCATCCGTGAGATGCTTAGGGTGAACCAGGAGATGTGCGTGGGGATGCAGGTGGCGGGGCGTACAAGGTGGAGGAAATGCAGAGGGGAAGGGGACGAAGCGCCTGGAGAGAGGTGGCCACAGAGGAGAGCTGGGAACTGCTCGATGCCAGTGCTGCCGCCCAGCGCTGCCGTCTGCATGGGGCAATTCTCGGCTTTTTGGTGCACCTGCAGCCATCCCTGGCTGATGGGTGGCCGTGCACTCACCCCAAACTCTTGTGAGAAGCAAAAGCTGCTCAGCAGCACCCGCTGCGTGGAGCAGAGCAGCGATGCCTTGTGCAGCTGATCACTGTGGTGTCCTATCTGGTGCTGTACCAGGCTTTTGCACACCACCGGGCTTTTGCACACTGGAACACCTTTCTTTGCGCGCTGTGCGCTTCTGCATATCACGCCCTTTTAAAAACACCCTGGAAATACAGCGTTTATCAATGCTCCCTTGCAAAAGCCCTTTTTGCAAATCCCACTTGGCCGTGGCCTTCCCTCGCTTCTCCCCTTTGGATTCTGCCCCGCACCGGCCAGGGCCATGCTGCCCTAACGCAGCGGGGTCTGCCCTGCCGGCAGAGCTGCCCTGGGATCAGCCCAGCGACAGCTGCCAGGAGTACAGCGACTGGAAGGAGAGGAAGACCTACCTCCCGCCCTGGAGGAAGATCGACTCGGCACCCTTAGGTAGGCAGCCGGCAGGCAGCGGGGCCCAGCACCCGGTGCCACGCAGCATTTTGCTATTTCTGCCCCATTTCCCTCAGCTTTGCTGCACAAGATCCTGACGGAGAGCCCAACGGCAAGGATCACCATCCCCGACATCAAGAAGGACCGGTGGTACTGCAAGCCCCTGAAGAAGGGTAAGGGGCATGGGGAAAACGTGCTTTCCACCCCAAATCGGGACACGTGATTGGATTTCTCCTCTGGCAGGTGTCAAGCGTGCTCGCGTGTCCTCGGGCGGTGTCACCGACTCGCCTGGCGCCTTCTCCAAGCACGTCCGCTCCGACATGGACTTCTCACCAGTGAAGGGCGTGCTCGGGTGAGCGAGCTTGCAAATGCATGTGGAGCTGCCACACGTCACCTCCTTGCAACGCGTGCACCCTTGTGCGAGCAGGAGCTTTTCTTGCGTGCCTTGTAACTCTGTTAAGCAGGAGGTGTTGTGGAGGAAACCAGCCTGGTGCGTGCGTGAACCCCTACTTACCCTGCTTGTGCATGCACAATCAGAGACAGTCCTGCAAAATCCTACAGTATAAATTGCACCTATTGGTGCCGTTCCCATAGTCGAGTGTTGTCCCCTTTGCGATCTTGGCGTCACTGTTTGTGATAGTTACAGGCACTAACGTGCCGTCTCTGCTTGTGTTTCAGCGAGGACAAGGCAAGCTACTCCACATCGCAGCCTGAGCCTGGCACCGGCGTGGCGCTCTGGGACAGCGGGACGGGCAGCATCGACAAGCTTGTGCAGGGCATCAGCTTCTCACAGCCTGCCTGCCCCGAGCACATGCTGGTCAACAGCCAGCTCCTCGGCACCCCGGGCTCCTCGCAGGTGCTGCTGTTGGGACACGTCTTCACAGTATTTACAATATCGGGATGCAAGTTTGCAATCTTTGGGATACAGCTTTGCAGGATTTATAGTACTAAGGTGCAACTTTGCAGCACTGGGGATGCTGCTTTGCAATATTTATCATTTCAGGATGCACCTTTGCAGTATTTTGAGGAGCAGCTTTGAAGTGTTTATGGTATTGGGATGCAACTTTGCAGTATATGGTGTGCAGCTTTGCAGCATTTGGTACTAAGGTGCTGCTTTGCAATTCTGGGGGTGCAGCTTTTCCATGTTTATTATCTCAGGGTGCACCTTTGCAGTATTTACAGTATCAGATTCTGCTTTGCAATACTGGGGCTGTCGCTTTTCAACATTTATATAGCCAGGATGCAGCGTTGTAGTACTGGGAGGTACAGCTTTGCAGCATATTTATATATCAGTTTGCTGCATTTGTAATAATTGGGATGTGACGTTGCAGGATTTATAGTACTGTGGAGCAAATTTTCAACACTGGGGGTGCAGGTTTGCATTCTTTAAAGTATTCGGGCTGCAACGTAGCAGTATTCAGGATTGCACTTTGTGCTATTTACTGTACCAGGCTGCAACTCGCCGTGTTTGCCATGAGGGGGTGCAGCTTGCCAATATTTCCCATATAAAGATGCAACTTTGCTGCGTTTGTGCACTTTTGGGGATGCGGGGAGGGGGGTGCACCAGCTTGCAGCCAGGCAGCAAGGCCGGGGTTTGGGGCGGGTGGAAGTGGGGAGCCGTGAGCGCAGGAGTGCAGCTTGGTGGCGTTCCCATCGGGACGCAGCCCGGCGGTGCTGGGGGTGCTGCCTGGCAGCCCCCATAACACCGGGATGTGCTGTGCCCACAGAGCCCGTGGCAGCGGTTGGTGAAGAGGATGACGCGCTTCTTCACCAAGCTGGACGCCGATGGCTCCTACCGCAGCCTGAAGGAGGTCTGCGAGAAGATGGGCTACGGCTGGAAGAGGAGCTGCACCAACCAGGTGGGGATGGGGCCATGGAGGGACGGGGGCCTTTGCCAGCCCCCCCCCCGATGGCTCCCCCTTCACTGTCGCCTGCAGGTCACCATCTCCACCACGGACAGGAGGAACAACAAGCTCATCTTCAAGGTGAACCTGGTGGAAATGGAGAGCAAGATCCTGGTGGATTTCCGCCTCTCCAAGGTGGGTGCTGGTGGTGGGTGCGAGGTGGGTGCACAGCGGGCGCGTGGCAGGTTGCAAGGGAAGTGCAAAGCAGTGCAAGGAGGTGCACAGAGAGTGCAAGGTGGGTGCAAGGTGGTGCACGGGGGGGTGCAGTGTGGTGCACAGTGGGTGCAAGGCACCGAGCCACTCTCTCTCCCTGTGCAGGGCGACGGGCTGGAGTTCAAGCGGCATTTCCTGAAAATCAAAGGCAAGCTCAGCGACATTGTCAGCACCCAGAAAGTGTGGGCGCCTGTGACCTGAGCCCCATCTGCCTCCTTCTCCTCCTCCTCCTCCTCCTTGCCCCAGGGGGCTTCTGCAGGGCCCCCCAGCACCCACACGCCAGGGCCCATGCTGCGAGCATCTTGGGGACGGTGCCCGCAGGACACAGCACAGCTCTGTGCCGGCCGCAGCTTTTAAAGGTTCAATAAAGCCTGGGGATGAAACAGCAACTCCTCTGGCTGCGAGCGGCTGCGCTCCTTGGAAAGGATTTAGGAAAGATTGGCCAAAATCGCAGTGCTTTTGCGTTTGGGCTGCGAGGCGGTGGGCACCCAGAACGGCTCCTCTTGGCTGGGTGAGTGCAAGGGGGAGCCAGAC